GAAAGAATTGTATTTTATAAGTAAAAAAACAAACAATTATATCATAGTTTGCGGGGCAAAATTAAACAAAAAAGACATTTCAACTTGACAAATCTATGAAGGAATAATAGACATTTAAGTCATTAAGAGTTATCTCTCTTATCAGAGTATCAATGGACCTTAAGTGAATTGAGTTTTTATAAAGTTGTCTCTATGAAATGTTTTAAAACCCTTTATAAACTGCACTTTTTCTGTAAGACTTTTTTTCATCCTTATGATAAACAATGGTCGTCGTGTTCAGAACAAGTTTTTTCCCCCTTTTTGCACATTCGTTAGCAAAGGTCTTATAAATTTGCAATTTGCATCGAATTTAAATACTTTTGCTTGTTAAGGACATTTTTTATGCAAGATGGAGACAGTTTGGACAAAAACTGCGTCATATAATCTTTTTTAAATGCAGAACATATGTAATTTTACGAGTTTTACTTCATTATGGTCACGATATGGAGTAACAGCAGAAGACTTTAAAAAAAAAATAAATGATTGTCAACATTGAAAGTACATGTAACATGTATAAAACTTACAAAGAGTCATTAAATTTTAATTATTTTATTATTACTTTCCTTCCCAACTCATAACTAGCTATTACAATGTTTCTTGACAGTCAACAAAATGTATAATTTTACTATTATAAGTATTAGATTAACCATCACAACGCGAGGGAGCAAAGCATTGATTTTTCGATGTTATATAATCATTCCTCGTGGTGCAACATGCGTAATACCATTGGCAAGAACCATTTTACTATCAGTACAGGAAAATTATTAGAACATTTAAATTCTTTTTTTTTAAATTAAATTCGAATTTACTTCCGTCTTAAAATGAAAGATCATTGACCTGACTATTTTATCCACTACGCAATTTTTTAAATCCGTTCAACCTTTGTCCTTCTCTACTTGATAATTTAAATAATACGACAGACAACCCTCTTTTTCAAAATTAAAAAAAAATATAAATAACAGGTGTACACTGATGAAAATAAATTTGTTAAATAATTGCGAATATGTAAACAGTGTGCTCGGCAACGGTAAACACAATTTACCTACTGCAAAATATATATACTGTTATTAAATAACCTTTAAAAGTTAATGTGTCACAGATGAACCAAATAGATATAGATTCCTGGGAAATCTACAAGTAAATTGGCGTTAAAATTCTTCTCCCCTGACATTTCATGAGTAAATTAACATACCTGACTACAAGAAAGATTTAACTTAAATTTCTGTTCTTTGCACGAGGATTAAGTTAGACCAGTATATTTAAACTCTTTTTTGTATTCTTCAGAATATTGTTACTTCTTATTCCATTTTCTATGAGCAAAAATTAAGAGTTTAAATAAATAACCCTTGTCGTCCAATAAAATTAATGTCCACTTTTTGATTCTTGTGAATCCGATAGATAGGGGGATTAGAACACGAGTCCTTAGTTTCCACTGTCGATCTCCTTAGATACAGTTTCGGAAAATGAACAATTAGACAATTAACGTGTTTTTACTGGATATATACAATGATAAGATGGCGTCTCTCTCCCTCCCATCTCTGACAGTACCAAGGTAAGATGTTTTAATCGGGAAAAAATTGTTAGGATTTTCTATTATATACGTTTTACATATTAATTCAAGTTTATACACGGTGAGCAAAAATGATTTAAATAACTCTCACAATTGGTTTCTGAAAATTTTGGATAGACGCCCTAAAAAGGGTATAATTATCAGTTTAGTTTAATTGGTGACATTAAATTAATAAAAGATTCTGTTTGATAATCTAATGATGTTATCGTCAAAATAGAGCAATTGTAAAAATAGAAAGAAAGAATGCTTGTATATAAATCGAAATTGTTTGTATCATTAACGTTGTATACTAGTACTGTATTTCCTTCATCTAATTCGAGTGATGTAACAAAGACAGTTGTATATATTTTTATAAACTTAAATTTATCACAAACCTATCTGGAATACAAATCTTTTGTACGTTTCAGTAAGATGTACATGCATTTCTTTTGATAAAGTATATATGATAAATAACATATCTTCTATTGAATCATGTATGAAGTGAAAAGGAATTGACGAAGTGTGGAAAAAATAAGTCTGATAAGTTTACTATGCACACGTACAATTTTGCCTTTCTGTATTCATCTGTACACGAATGTACATTGTGCAACGGATAAAGTTTTTTATTTTAATGATGCGGGTCTTATTCTATAAAAGACGTTGTGGTATTCAAAATCGTTATTTGTAAGAAGATACAAATACCCTGAATCACGGAGTGTAACTTTGATTACATGTATATCAATAGTATTTAAAGATGCAGGTTTACACTGACAACATAAATTCCTTATAAGTAGTATTTCTGAGAGCAAATCAGACTCGCTTATGGAAATTAATCCACCAGTTTCTTTCAAAAAGATTTATAAAATTTCATAAACTTTAACTGACAATTTTCCTTTACAAAACCAATGAATCGGGCTTTTTCTGTCCCATTAAAGTCAATGTCAAACTCTACATGTGTCAGACTTGTATGGACAAATCTGTCGCACCCCACCGAGTCATTAAAATTTGATTTAAAGTATAGACATCTATCGAAAAGGATTTAAAATCGTAAAAGTTCTTGAGAAAATGACACGTCAATGATGCTTTAATTAAAATGGTCCAATTAAGGATATATTTAAACGTAAGATGTCTATTTCTCGGACTAAAACGCACAGGTATTTTTTTTCTTTTAACATACACGTGTATATCCTATACATTACATTGCAAGTCTTTAGGCAACTAAATGTAAAATATTTGCATTACGGATTTGATTAAATAAATGTACATTACAGTTCAATTCCAAGTCGTTGATCGGGAAAATTCGGTTGTTCCACGATTTCAATGTGTTTGTATGACTCATAAACATTCAGGGTCTAAATCTTTACCAGTTTTTAACTTACCTGTACATTAATTTTTGGTGTATACTAACGTATGTTTTTCCTTCATCAGTCGAAGTGCGAAAGGGATTAATAAAGTATATTTCATATCCATTTTTCAATCAAAAACTTTATACTGCTTTAGAAGTTATATTCAAATTACATGTAATTATTGCCGAATTCTTGCCAATATTTAGTACTGTCAAAATCTATCCAGTATTACCATGTATTTACAGGGAACCCATTAAATCATCACAATCCGTTGTGTATTACAATAATCGAATATGAGAAAGTAATTGGTTAACCAACTATGTGTTGTGTTACAAAAAAGAAAAAAAAAGAGAAAAATATTTACGCAAACTGAAATTAAAAGTAAACTCTCAAAACCCAATCTGTTGAACACATCTAATATAAACTATAGAAGTATCACCGATTGATTTGTATGGATCAGTAATCTCGGACAAAGATTAAGGACTTACACGAAGATTAAAAGTTCTGATATATAATCCTGACGTGTATAAGTTTGCTTCTAGTATGGTTACAATGGACACGTAAAAAAATCTAGCATGCTTGACCACGGGGGTCATCATGACAACTAAGGAATAATTAACGTGAATGTTTATCAAGTTCGTTGTTCTAATTTATATGGATCTCGGATTTACAAATACATGAAATGAGAGTGAAATTTCAGTTGAATTTTGTGATATTTAAAGAAAAGTTTTGGATTACAAAATGAAGGAAAACAATCCAACACCAACATCATTATTTACGCCCAGTCCGCAACCGCATTTGACGTCACGAGCGTCGTCGTTAAGAGCGGCAGACGGCAGAAGTGATTCGCGGATTAGTAACCAATCAACGCCTAGATTTGGAAAAAGTTCGAAAAATGTTAATAAAAATAAGTAAGTGTAATATATTGGAAGAGGAGCTAGTAAATATTTCTCTATTTTGTAGTTTTCATCTATATAGCAAAATTTAAGATATGTAGGTTATTTTCCATATAAAAACCCAATGTTTCTTTTTACCTCCTCTTTACCAGGTAGAATATCATTACACATGAATCGATCATGCTTGTGCATAAGACCCAGAAATATTTACGCTGTTTTATAATATTTATCTTCAAAACATCACGTGTTTAAAATCCTTTGCACTTTTTATGGAAACAAATAATCAACTCTATGTACAAATACTTCAGCGGGGGTTTATCAAATAAACTTTTTGTGAGGTAAACATTTCGAAGTCTTTGGAAATATGGAAATGGGCATTAAATCAAGTTTAAAAGTTCATTTTTGCCACAAACTCACTAAATCAAATGCATCTCATAAAATGCCTTTTAAAGTTAGATAAAACTTAAAATAAAGACTAAATACATGCGACTAGTTGATAATTTGGGGTTTAAAAGAAATTCAATCCAATGATTTGTAATTCCCTCTGAAACTGTTCAAAGCGTAGAGGTCTATTTTTAATTAGATTGAAAGGAAATGTACATCTATTAACGGACTGTATTATGTTCTTATGAGTGACGGGATTGGAAAGAGGCATTATTGCACGTACAACTGCAAGACAGTACATGTATTCCAAGACCATAACATCTCTCTCTCTCTCTCTCTCTCTCTCTCCTTTCACTCTTCTCTGTTCATGGAAATCTTAGTCATTGTTTAAAATTTCACCTGTAGAAACCTGAAATATGATGAATGTGTACCTTTGATGCCTTGCTTGTCTCATTTAGTTCGATCCATTCGGCGATTTGTTCCATCTCCGTGATTCTGTTCAATGTATATATCTATAGCTCAGTATTAAAAATTCGACACCCCTTTTTCAAGTATTGAGCCAAATCCCTGTAATATGAAATGCCTTTATGCGTATATCTTGCATAAATTTCTGGAGAGGTCCGCCGTGAGAAAAAAATGTCTGCATCTACCGACACCAAAGAACCTAGCAGAAGAGTTAAATTAGAAAGGGCAGTGACGTAGGTTTTCCTTAGTGGATAACCAATGTATTTATATTTTGAAAACAAAAATTCAATGTTTCAATCATTTCATTCATTCTTTTTCCAGGATTGCTGAAATCGTAGCACCAGAAAGTCCCAAAAAAGCAGACACAGTAAAACTACCTCCAACCAAACAAAATGGTCATCTTGTACATGCGAACGAACCCGGGCAGACGTCAAAGGGCAAGAAGGCAGAAGACCGTGATGGGAGACAGTTAGCAGACCCCAAAAAGAAAAAGAAAAGTATGACTGTTTTAATATCGTCAAGTTTAGTTTGTATTTCTGAACAAATGGTATAAAATATAAAATTAAATTCATAAATTAATTGGTGCAATGTATTATTTCTCCATGAAACTTATGTTTGTGGCTTTAATTAGACGTTTGTTTCCTTGTCTTTATGATTGTTGTCAGTGTAACATTTATATGTAATGACCCCTCACAAAACCACATTGTAATATACATAAAGTGCACTAATCACTCTTACAAACATCATATACATGTAATAATGTCTCAAAACTTTTCACATAGGCATAAGAAAACAGTCGGTTTCGTTCATTATGAATATGTGTTTTCTTAATTGAAATTTCATTGATATAATCTTTCAAAATCCAAGAAAGTGAACCGAAATTGTTTTGTTGTGTAAATATATAATCGTTAGTGTAAATTTCTTTGGTGTTAAAGCTGAAGAAGAGTCTAACAGACAGGCAAAATCAGCCCCGTCCAAAAGAAAAGATGACGTCAAAGACCCTCCAATTTCCCCCCAAGTTGATAATTATACTCACAGAACTGAGTCCGACTCCCCTACTAATGGTGAGACTCGTAAACAATCTATATTGTATGTATTGTGTAATCTGTGTCAAAATTATATAATATCAAACCCTTCATGTGGATGTACTAGTACATGTAATTGTGAACAAAAAAATTAACTTATCATTTCTTCTAATTCTTTTAATTACCTCTGTTTCCTCATACGTCTTAATGAAACTTTTGAGAAAAGTTCTTTAAATTTCTGAATGTAAAATTATGTTGAACTTAATATAATTTACAGGAAAGAAGAAAGCAACAAAGGACCAAAACGAAAAGTAAGTATCCTATTTTTTTCCAGGGTCGAGATTTTTTGTGTGGTTCTTTACACCTTGCAAGATCATTTCTAGCTTTTGATAAATAATCTCCCAGGGTCACTTTGAAATACAATGGTAATAGTTCGACTTTATTAAATAGTTATTTCCAAATGTACAAAGGTGTAAATGAACGTGTCAGGGAAACTTTCTTTGTCTGGAAAGGTCGGAAGGGATATAAATACACTAACAAAGAAGAAAAGAAATTAAAATCAATATTCATAATTATTACTGTTATGTTCAGTTTTTGTTGTACTTTGTAAATATAATTTACATGTTACAGTAAGTATAATCGACAAGGAATTTAAACAGAAGCCTATTATGTGTGGAAGTTTAAAATATCAATAGAGTGTGGTTATTTAGAGTCGTTGTAAGTGTAGTCCAAGTGGAAAATGAGGATGAATCTGTAAGGGAATTTGTATTCGAGGGGAATTTTTTTGTGTGTAACATTGTCATTCAAAATGACGCTTATACCAATACAATACGACAGATCAGTGAGCTATGCAAAACTTTCTCCGTTACGGATAAATACAGACCCAGTCAATTTACCCGACATCGTGCAGAGGTTGGTCTAAAATTGTTTCAATTTAGATTTTTTTTTTTTGGATTAGGAGTCGGTGCCTTTTTTTCTAGAACCACTAATTTTCCCGTCTGCACCAATAAGAAATACGAACAATTTTAGTGAGTGAAACGTTTTTAAATTGTTATAATTTTCTTCTTTTTTTTTTAAATAAAGAAACCGGAAAACACCAGCACCAGAAGCGAAAGAAAATAAGGCAAAGAATGGAGCAGTTCCAAACTACGCAAGGTAATGGATTTACTGGAAAAAAATTTCCGAAAATGTGCATATAGTTTGCATATTGTAGATTTCTTAATTTACGCGAGTATTTAATATCGCGAAATTACTCCTCAAATTGCTACAAGACGAATTCGCGATTGAACTAGTTGCTTATTAAAAGATTTTATATATGTATTTCAGAAACATGAAAATGAAAGCAAGAAATTTTATTTCGATCGCGAGTGATGCTTCTTGCGAAGGCAATTAATCACATTAAATTCTTATACCTTTTCAGAGGAAATGAAAACGACAGAAGAGAAAATGAAAATCCGAATAGAGCATCTAAAGGACCATCGGAGAAAAATAGGAACAGCCAACAAACTAATAAAACAAGATCTGAAGATGAAAGACACAAGGAGTCCCCCACAAACAGCAGTCCCAATCACGACAAAAGTAGACCAGTCACAAAGGGTACCAGACAGGACCGAAATCATGTGTCAAATTTAGACGATCAATATTTTTCGCCCGAGCCAAATTCTGAGGAAGCTTTGTTGAGGGAAGAAAAACGAGAACAACAGATAATGAAACTGAGACTTCCGAAAAAGAATAGATACGGTCCTGTCAGAGCTAAAGGGCTTCAGACACCTAGAACTCCGAGAACCCCTCGTAGCCGAACCCCTCGGTCACGAACGCCAAGAAATCGATACTACCGGAAACCGGGATATTCGCATTCGGACACCGGAGATTACCGAAGTCCTAGGAGGAAAAGTATTCTTAATAATAAAGAAGCTGTTATTTTAGAAAGGTCTCGGCCCAATTCGTATAAATGGGAAAATAAGCCTATCTACAGACATGAAACAAAGGATTGGGAGGATCAACGTGACGAATTGACGTGGAGACCGTCTGTGAACAGTCCAACCGATTGGTTGAGAGTGTATGTTGGCGACATTCAAATTCGCGAAAAAAGTGCTAAGTCTAGGAAAAACAGTCCCGAATCCACGGAACGGACTGTACGTCCTGGGGCTCCACAAAGAAATTCTAACGAGTATATTTTAACAAAGAGACAAGTGCCCGTTTACAAGAATATGCAGTCTGTTTATAACAATAAATTAAAAAGAGATAAAGAGACGCGAGAGAAAAGATTTTTCCAGAAATTGCAAGAATGTCAGTCACTGAAAGCAAGAATGCAGATTTCGGACCTCGTCGACCGCCAGCGGAAACGCGAAATCACGAAACAACGACAACAAGAACAGTTAAAGGAACTTCGACAACGCTTCGAGGACGCTGCTTGGGTGAGATTTAATACTCAATATGTGACGTCACGTATTCTTGAGCACGAAAAAATGAATCGCTATGCTTACGGACTTCCAGAGGAAGTTGATGGAGCTCCGGAGTTTGAATCCAAATTAAAGAGAAAACCACCTAAAATCAAAGTGGATTTTGGAAAACTGGATAAAGCAAACAAGAAAAAGTACAGTTCAATGTTCAGTATTTATAAGGGGCCTGAATGGGATCCAATTTCCAAAACTCCGCCGATGGAAGGAATTGACACAGTGGATATAGACTACGAGACAGATGGAGGTTGGTGGCTTCATTTATATAGTTAAATTGAGCAGTTCTTTTTCCAATGAAAGTTAAGTCATTGCAATTTATGCTAGTTGGTATACTTTAAATAAAAAGCAAACATTACCTTATAAGCTTGAACAGGACCAATATCGGGGAGGGGAATAAAGAATAATTTCATTTTACTTTTGGAATTTTGTTGCTATTGTTTTGAAATGTTTTTTTTTTCTATGTAAATCTCTGTTTAAAATTGTTATGAGATTAATCATTGTAATTCTATTTGTTTACAAATAATACGTGTTGCAAGAAACTTGCGAGGTCTGTTCATTTAAGCGTTTTTAAACACATCTTGGGATTTTTTAAAACATTTATTGCGTGAAATTAATCCATTATGTGTCTCCAAAGAATTAGAATTCAGTTGTATGCCATAATCAAATGGATTATCAAAATTAACAACCCGACTTTCTTCTCCAGTTACAAACATTAATTATAGGGTATATAGTCGTTTTTCGTGCGGCAGACAAACAGAATATTGTAAGCAACCAATTATTTTGTCATTTTGTTTTCTTGTTCTTTTGTGGGGCGTTTTATTATAGATTTTGTTGCTTTGTTGTTACACAGAACTTGACGACCACGAAGGAGTGGAGAATGGCGGTGGTATATACAAGATATATCTAAATCTCTTGACTATTTAAATAGCTGAATAGCGGTTACATTCACGCCATTTTCTATAGGGCAATAATTTAGCTGAACCTGTCTGCAAAATCATATGATCAATTCTTTTTATAAGTCTTGATAATTTCTGCTGTAATTAACACATTTCTTTTTCTCCTGTTCAAGGAATTGTCTCTATCTAAGCTTTATTTTTTTTTCTTAACTCAAGTAGACAAAAGATATGGATGGTAATGTGTTTTATGTGGGTTGTGATTTGACAGGACATGCACATGTCTGCATGTTGTTTCTATAACATTTTTTCAACACCAAATCAGGAAATAGGAACCTTATTTTCTTGAGTGATTTTTTTTTAAATCGACTTGTTCGCACCATGAAGATTTCCATAAATTCTTTGTGTTTTTAAATAGATTTGGTTAATAAACACACTGTCTTGTTGAAGTGTTGAATTTACTGAGTGGGTGTAAATACAAAATTATCGATGTTTGTATTTACACCCTCCAAGGAGATTCAAATTGATAGCAACACAAACTAACAAACACTTTCTTCATTTTGAATTTCATTTGTAAAGGATACTTTTTTAAAAACATAAAATATATCAAAAGTATTCATAGAAATAATCATAGTATAGCTTTAATAAACGAAAAAGTTTTAAGAATAGGTGTATTATGTGACACTGAAACTCTTATTAACATAAGATCTTTGATCTTCCTACATACTTTTAAAAATACAGCGAAATCTGCCTAATTTGACTTGTTCTGGGAAACAAATTTTAACGTACAAAGATTGCTTTGTGTAAAGAATATACAAAATGATTAATTGGGAATGCAAGTAAAGGTCGGAATTGCAGTGAAATGGATAGTACAAGTGTCGGATTAAACAGTTTTTACTGTAATATTATGTATGTGAGAAATCAGAGTTTGATAACCTGGTAATTATATTGATGAATTACTGTAAAAGTACTTTTTCCGCGTGGGATAAATGTACATTATGCGGAAATTAATGTAATGGGCATTTTAGATAAACGGCATTCCAACATGTCCGCGTAATGTTCTCCCAGTGGATTGAAGATAAATTTGGGTTCCGCGGAATTATGACCTCGTAGGAAAAAAGTACATTTACAGTAATTAAAAGTACACACTATACATGATTTCCCCTCTTTTTCACTAGGACACAAGAAGGTAAAAACAAGAAGAGTCAAGGACGTTATTCGTGAGGCAGAAAAAGAGATGGCGGATTTAAAAGGTATGTATTAAAATAGTTTTATTTCTAAACATTAATGTTCTAGAAGTTATGTTGTAAGTTCTATAGGAAAGAAAAAGATTTATGCCAGTTAGAAAGGATGACATTTAACCACACTTAGTTGCAATAGATACATGTATTATGAAAATGTGAAGATTTGCTATTTAAAATTATTGAAGTATGCGCCATTAAAAAAGTTCCTATTCAAAATGTGAAATCTTTGAAAATATTTTCCCCCTAATTTGTTGGTTTTCTTTAATTTTTTTTTTTTGGGGGGGGGGGCTATAAAGTTGATTTTATTTTTTCTTTCAGTCCACCAGCAATTTTTTTCTACAATTGTAGAAGTTAAGAAGGATAATTTCAAATTCTTTCTTTCAGATATAGATATTCTTCTGGTGTATTAAGTATGAATGTAATTCTATGTTAAAACTTGAACATACAATATCCATTTGTGTTGTAAATCACATTACACGTACCATTCTTAGAACAGAAAATATGTGGGTATCTTGGATATCACATCAACACAAAGTAAAATTTATTTTCAAGTGATTTGTTCCTGGCAAAGGGTTTATCGAAAGTAATTTGCACTAGATGTGACGTTTGATCTCTTTCTTTTTCAAGGCTTGCACTCAAGCCAAAATCGCACATAATTTGCATCTTAAAAATTTATGCATACTGGCCTCCTGGTTTTTTTTTTCATTATCATGAGTATTAATTCATCATAACTTCAATTTCAGCCAAAGACTCTAAAACTGGAGTCACTCCTAGACTTTCAGAAACAGAGACCAACAACAAAACCTCAGGTGATATAGATTTGGACAGCGATGACGACGACGATGATATGTCAGATATTTTCGAAAGAGCGAGAAAGAAATACAATCTAGAAGTAGATGACGAAACCATGTCTAGAAGCCGGAGGTGAAAACAGAATCACGTGACATCGTTGTTTTCATTGATCCAAAAGTGCCTCTCCAGACGTCTTTTGGTCCTCTGATTTCGTTTTCGAAAAGTTCGTCTTTTCAGACTTTTTAGTGTTATAGATAAGATTTTACATGAATGTACATTTGCGCACTGCCCATTGATTTATATTTATTGTCTGAATAATTGTTACCGGAAGTGGTGTCCATCATCCTTGAGCACAGCTACTTTTTTTTAAAAAGTGGCTTATCATGTCAAATAAATATCTTCAAAGTTATAAAATTTTCTTTCTTTTCTTCCTTTTATTTCTTGTAAGGATGAATTACCTTTACAATCGGAACATCACTTGGCCTTTTCCGTCAAACCGACTTGATTACTTGTATGTGTGTACTTGAAAACAGATCAAAATTTGTACAATTGAAACTCTTTGGAAAACGTCTCTATAATATTTTTTTTTTAAGAACTAAGAAATTACAATATGAAATTGCGTTTATGGCAGGCCATTCTTTGCAATATTTGACAAGACATTGATTATAAAGTATATAAATTCTTAGAATTCCATTCAAGACGTTATCCGACCAATACTAGGTTCTTAGTCCTGTTTTATATATAGTTACTTTCAAACGCAATTCTTGATCCAAGGATTTCTTTCTGTGTCTGTTTAACATGAATATTTATAATACAACGGAAGACTTAAACTTAGGTATTTAATTTTGTTTCTTCACTATTATTATCACCCCCTCCCCTCAAACATTGTTCTTGAAATCTATCGAATTGAGTTAGAATTTTTGTCATTGATACTGTAGAATCACTAATTTATATTTGTGGGGGTTTGATTTTCGTTGAATATGTGGTTACCTATGAATTAAGACACCCACAAATTCAAGTCCTCTAAGAAATTTTAAAATATAACATCTCTACACCTTTTCAGCAATGATATTAATCAGTGTTATTATTGAGATTTTGAGATCTAAAAGACTCAAGTTCTGATTTGTTACCTATTAACTAATATTCAAGATACGAATGTAAAAAATACAGAATATAGATAGTTTTTTTTTTTAACAACAGAGGCGCAAATCGTCGAAGTTCGTCAAAATATAAAGCAAAAGATTCTACAGAACTTTGATACGTTCTGATTAATTTCTTTTTCCCGTGTAATATTTTGTAAAACAGATACTGGTAACTAGATAATAACCTGATTATGAGCGGATTTTATTAAAGAAAAAAAAATTTCTTGGGAGTCTTGGTAAATTAGAGCTCGGAAATATAAGAAACGTAGAAGAGCGTTGTTTCCCTTGCATTAATTTGGACGTGCAGACAGCATCTGAAAGCAATTTATTGACTACACAAACTTGACGAATGTTTCTGTAATGAAACTTTATTCCCATGGTATATTATACTAATGAAGATACACTTTTATTACAGAAACAGGTGTCCGTTTTGTCAAACTGATATAAAAATCTGAATCGGGGGTTGTGCATGCGTGCAAGTACATATACAGATCATGTATGAAGATTTTGCATTAAAATACATGTACTTATAAAATTTAAGGAAGAGATTGCAAGGGTCCATGAAAAAAATCCGCTCTATATGAATTTGTCTCATTTTTACATATAATTGCCTTACGTTAATGGTATCATAATATGAAAATGTCAACCAAGGTCATCAGGGTTATAAGAAAGATATGGTTGCCATGGTAACCACCGTTTTTCAATATTTTGATATTTATGTAGTGGAATTTTAAGTATGCCATACAGGTATCAAAATTGAAACAAATTAAATAATTTTCACCAGATATTAAATAATATGCTTTATATTCATTGAAAATAAAAATTGTATCGGAAACTATTGATAGATGTAGGAATGCCACAGTTGCTTTGGGGAGTAGTCACTGTAAATTTGCAGTAATATTTTCACCCCAAGAGCAGTTTTCAACGTCTTGAAAAAAAATTGCCCAATGAATTTTCCTAAAATTAATATATTTTGTAACAATTATTATAAGTGACTTATGGTTAAAATATGAAGTGGGGTCATCACATTCTTTTTTAAGCTACATGCATTTCAATAACCCCCCCCCTTCCTAAAATATTAAAAGATTTCATATATTTTAATCTGATGGTTTGTTGCTGAACGTTTAATAGAGCAGAATGATAAAAGTATCATGTACCACCTGATACCTACAGAAAGTACACAAAAAGCAATATGCATATTTTTTTTTTAATTTTCCCATCTCCAAAATATTCATTCCGTTATCATATCAATATAGATATATACATTCTAAACCAGTGCACAGTGGTCCAAGGGCCAAATTGTTCATGCTCTGAACACTCATCGAGTTCTCTGCACTGTGACTTGGAATCGGAAAGGGGGGGGGGGTCACTTTAACACATTGAATGAATAGCTTACTTCAGAGAACTTGTACCTGCAATATATACCGTATATAAAAATCCTAGCTATTATCTTATTTGACAGATTTTAGTGATTTGCTATTTAATATTTACATTAAATTTTGCAAATATTTTTCCTTCAGATTCATTGCAAATTAGAAAACAATTCATTTTCTCGTGAACTAGGTAAGCCTACACATATCTCCATTGTGACGTCATAATGCCACACTTGACGTCAAAACTATCATGCAAACTGTTTTGTTTCAAAAATAATCGCGTTGAATGACTTTTATAAAGTGCTTCATGCTCACGCGGTTCATGAAATATGCTGAGGTGAAGCGTCTTTGTTCATGTCCTCCTGAATTTTAAAAAATTGAATTCATTTTTCAAATATATTCCCGTGAGCATGATGAGTTGAAATGTTTTTGTAACGTTATGTGCTCAAAATCATTTTCTCTCTCTGGTATACCTGGTACCTCCGTAGTACCTCGATTGTCAGAATTAACTTCTCTTAGTTTCGTCTGTTATTCTTACACGCGTATTTTTTGCTAGATTTGTGAAGAAACTTTTCTTTTCTGTCAGAAGAAGTGTGTTTAAGTTTCAATTTTTTACCAAATACGACGCATAAAACATTTTACCACAACAAATGCTTCCGCAATATATGCGTCGACGATTCATTGTTTACATGGTCGATGTAAGAGTTGAAAATGCTAGAGATCTTACTGAGGAAAACAATTTCCTCTGCGGTATTTTTAAAAATACGTTCATGTCAAGCATGCGACCTGAAACTGGTCTATACACGTATACTAGTATATATTTACATTTGCTATGTTTTTCTACTAAGCCAACTGTGCAATTGATTTGAAGTTCATTTTTGTGTATACTCACGCGTAGAAATATACACGGTGAAACTCGCTGTAAAGTGACGTCACAATGAGGCAACAGGGACGTTAATAAAAATGTAACGATATAGGGCAGCAAGAAATTCAAATATTGAGCATAATATTGTTGCTTTTGAACTTGTAAAATGTAAATATAAGGAATGTTTTTCAGTTTAGTGTGAATTATTGGTGTGTAAATCACACAGACTTGCACGTAGACATATTTTTCATGAAGCGCTAGCGCGCTTCATGAAATATGCCTACGTGACAAGTCTGTGTGATTTACACACCAATAACTCACACAAAGCTTAAAAACATTCCTTAAATGAAAATCGCATACGTTTATCTGTTCATCCATATAGGCCTATATTCATTATTTTCACTTGTAGAAAATCACGCTGTCTGAAGCTTCTAGGAAATGAATATCTATTCATAGATGTAGATCCTATAGTAAAGAAACCGATTTCAAATAAAATTCTAATATCTTAAATAAAACTAGAGGACATAAAGAGCCAGACATGAATTAAATTTATTCATGAAATAGATTTCAGTGAAAGAAAAAAAAAACCACAAGGATAAAAAAAAAATCTGCGTCGACGCTCACAAGCACTCTGCAAAATCACATCTTTATCTTATAATTATTCTTTCTCTGTTTTAAAAATATTGCCACGAAGATCTTTTGTCATGGGCGTAATCATAATCACGCTCCTTATTTAGCTGTTATTCCGGAAATGGTTACCGTTAATCTTCTGTTTTTAACCATCACATGAGTCGATCACGTGACGCCTTGCAATCGCTTCCTTAATCAGTGTTAATTGAAAAAAGAAATCTTTCTCATTTAGAAATTAGTTAGTCCTGATCAAGAGCAATACATGCATGTGTTTGCATAATTATATGTCGTAGTTTTATGATATAATTTCAATATTCATAGTTCTATATGGTATTCAATGGGAAAAAATGAGTCTTAAATATACCAAATTTGTATATTACCGGTAATATATTCAATTTAATGCACACCAGATATAACTTACGATAATTTATACTATGTGCAAAACATTGATTTAATCTAAAAACCTGAGGGAAAAACCTTAATATGAACGAAAATCTCTATTACATAGTAGCTTTTCCCCCAAGGGAAAACCTACTATACATGTAGCGAGTTTTCCTGGGAGGCTACTACATGTATGAGCTTTCAAAGAAGTTTAGGTTAAAGTTTCTTTAAGGACGCTCTCTACACTGCACACGAATTCAGGGTACTTTTGTGTAGTTAGACTGATCAATCATTTGATATAAAATAATACAAGTTTGGCTTTCCAGAAAGCCTGAAATGCCATCTCTTTGGCTTCATTAATGTCACAGAATAAATAGTGGAATGTAATATTTTTTCCTCAGCTATTACAGACAGAAGAACTTTTTTTCAAAAGGGGGGGGGGAGCACAGAATAAACAGTGGAATGTAACAATTTTTCCTCAGCGATTACAAGCTAAAGAACTTTTTTCCAAAAAAAAGGGGGGGGGTAGTCAGAAAAAAATTACAACTTGCCTGAATAATCTTTCACTAAGAAAAAAAGGGGGATGTTCAAACTCGAAATTCTTATTTCGTACATGGGAGGGAAGATTTAAACGTTTTGACTCTCTCGAAAACACATGGGGGGGGGGGGGTGTATGCATATGCTGCAACAAAAAAATGTGGGGAAGGTATAGAGGCAAGCTGCCTTTCAGTGAACAGTTGCAACAGTAATTTCAAATATTTTTTGTATATGTGTTTAAAAAATGTAACCACTAAGCAGTATTCGTAAAATTTGTAAACAATTGTTATACAAAAGGATGGGTAAAACCTTAGCGTTCCTATTGACTTTACATCACAGCAGCTTACTCGGACAGCAGCCAAGAAGTTTAAAGCGCTAACTTGAATTAGTCCGGTGTCATATAGTGAGACTCCCACCCCCCATTGTGAGACTTCCCC